CTGCTTCTCATGTCCAAAGATCTTACAATGTTCGTAAAGTATAGGTTTCCATTCATACTCCACTCTCTGCTTGATTACCTGCATTCACTTTCAAACAGGATTATATCTGGGTATGTTTGGTTCAATTGGACCTCAACCAGTACCCTAGCATACAACAACCTTTCTTTCATAGTGGTTTTTGCATCAGCTTTCACTAGTTTTCCAACCAATCCTGCTATTTTTGTTAGTGTCACTTGCCTCCAATACTTCAGATCCAATCCTATCAATTTTATCCAGATAGGTACATTTTCAGCTGTGATCTTGTTCATTTCCTTTTCTGGTCTCCATGGCTTTACAATCACAGGTTCCTATCAAAAGTCTGAATCCCATCTTCAACTACTTTCTATGACTGTTACAGTACCCTTCTATGATTGTTAGGGGGAGTATTCGATCCCAACACATAGCAGACAACAGCTGATTGCCAGTATTCTATCTCCTCCTTAATATCATTCATGGTGATTTTTATATTCGTAGCCAGTTTTTCTGCTGCTACTAAGTCAAAACCCTCCCTCAATTGTGATTTCCCAACTATATTACTCCATGATTTAGGGCTAGGGGTTAGTTTTTTGGTTTGTACCTTTCTCAGTTGTAGATTTCTCCTCTACATCAACTCGATCTACCCAAGATGCCCTGCTTGTGTTCTGTTCGCCAGTATTTGCATTTGGTGTACCAGTAGTTGCAATTGGTGTACCAATTGCCCTGCTAGGTGCCATTGGAGTCACTATCAGATGCGATGTCTGCTAAAACTCCAGTGGAACTACTCCTTGGATTACATTCACACTCTTCGTTCTCTTAGCATCCTCTGACTGGGGAATCCCCCTTCTCCCCATGTTTATCACTGGTAGGTTGCTCTTTATTCCTTGCCCTCTCCCTCCCGTCTTCGATTTCCTTGCCATCCAGTCTTAGCTGAGAGGAGCTCTCATTCTAGAGAGAGAAAGTTTTTTCTATGAACATTTTTTAGCAATGAAATCAAAGTTTATTAGCGTAGAAAACCTTGTTATAGATAGGGGTATCAATATTAGCCTCTCGGAATTAATCTCTCTACCTTGATAAAGTAGAGGTAAGGTCTGCGTATACACAATCTTTTCAAGACTCCATTTATATAATTTCACTGGGTTTTTTGTTTTTGTTGTTGTTTCGTGACCCACTCAACCCGTCTAAAATTGAGCTGTCAAATTATTAACTCAATCCATTTTGATACGCTCAATTTAATCCATCTAGAAGTTGAGTTGATTTGGACTAAATATGTAACTCAAATTGACCCATGAGAAACCTTGTCAAAATAGTAAAATACTTCTTTATTTGATATGTTATAATATATGGCCATAACATAAAGAAAAGCAATTTTTATTAGTTTTACTAGGTAATTACACAATGAATCAAATGAAGAAATTAAAACAGAGTTGATTGGGTTGGGTGATGATGAGCTATTATTTAGGGCATCTCCAACCCTTGCACCATTTTTTTTACATCAAAATAGTGTAAACACCAAAAATGTACAAATTAATTTCAACCCACTACACTATTGTTTTACACAAAAAAGAATATTTCTTTTATATTCTTCTGTCTCTTCTATATTATATTATTTTCTTTTATTTAAATTTATTTTTTATTTCATAAAACAAATCCTTTCTTTTTCCTTTTTTACATTCATCCCATATAACTCATATTCCTTTCTTATATATCCATTTAATATAAAATTATTTTATACCATAAATTTTTAAATAATATAAATTGTAAGCAAATATTAAAAATTATACATATTTATGGATAATCCAAATAAAACAAAATCACTGATATGATATAATTAAATTAATATTATATTATGGTAAAATATAATTTAATTTTTACATAAATATTCAACTTCCAGGATTAGTATGTTACTCCCATAAATTTTGTTTAATTTCTACATAAATATTCAACTTCCAGATTTACACTTTTTATTTTTTTAGGGTTATACATTTTTATACAATTATAATTTACAGTAAAATTAACTAACAATTTTGTATAAAAATAATATATACGAAAATTTATTTATAAAAATTATACACCAAAATTAAGATGTAAAATTAATATTATAACAATATTACATAAAAACTATAAGTAATTACAAAAACTATTATATGTTGAATTAAAAGTGTTATATAATAAAATATTAATGAATAGTGATGGTGATGATGAATAGTGTTACATCAACACACCAAAATGATGTAAAAATGGTATTGGATTGGAGCACCAAAACACCAAATCTTATATCAAAATAGTATTTGAAGTCAAAAATAGTGTTGGATTGAAGATGGCCTTAGCCCATTTTAACCCAGTTCATTTCATCCGTTTATTAACTCAACTCATTTTTAACCCATTCAGGTTCAGTAGACTGATCCGTTTGATACGCCTATTTATAGATATCCATACGAGGAGACTTTACTTTCCTAGCTGCTGTTTCGATAATTACATGTACATCTTGGTAGTTGTCGATGCAATGATGTCCTTTGGTTGTGCCTTCCGATATATAGGATCAATCAGACTTCGCGTTAGATACTTTGGGCCATGGATTACTACAATTTGGCGTGTCTCGACATACAGGCGTGTCTTTATGTGCACAATTTGGTGATCTTATATCAGTAATCCATCAGAATGTTCATACTCTAATAAACAGCATTATTGTGGAATCCGACAATGTGAATGAGTTTATGACTATACTCAATCAGAATGATTAAAATGATCGAGATAATTTAACAAACCCATGTCTTAATTTATACATGAAAAGGTGTGTTGATGCAACGGACGAGCATCTCCTCTTGTATTATACTAACTTTAATATTTGGTAAAACCAACTCATGTAGGACTTGAGAAGCATACCATTAGATATATTTGGTTGCCACCATTTATGGCAAGGATTTGTAGCCACTAGTCAGTAACCTCAGGGGGTTTTGGTATTAATCAACATCTTTATGATTAGGTTAGGATTTAGGTTAAGCATCTTTTTAAATTAATTGAACGATCAAAGCCTTTTTATTGCCTCTGGATAATCATTAAACTACCACAAATGGTGTTAGCTTGCTTCGCTTCTCTCTAACATGATTGGTATTAGTCTTCCAAAAAGACAAAAGATAATGAAAATAGGAACGAGAAAGCGATATCCATCCTTCTAAAAATAAATAGGAGGAAACTTTAGGAAATTTCTCAACTGTTTACTCTGCTTCAAGATTATCTTTTTCTAAATAAGCTAGCATTTAGACCTAAATTTGGTTGAAACTTAAAAAAAATAAGTTTTTAAAGATAAAAATTATTTTTGAAAGTTGTAATTGTGTCTGGACATGCATTTTACTTGAAAAGAATTTGAAGCTTTGTGAGTATAAAACTTCAAAAACTCTCTAGAGCAGTTTTTGGGATTTGAAGATTTTGTTTCCAAAATCTGCCAAAAAATAGTTAAAATCTATAAACAAATAGATATTTTAAAATATTTTTTTTTAAAAGCTCCTAAATTTTATGGTCAAACGGGAGCTAAGAGACAAGGGCGGCCCAAGAAGATTGGTGGCTTAAAGCCAATTTTTAATCTGGGGCCTTTCGGAAGGAAAAAAAATTCATATATATTTTTAATTGAAGTCTACTTTTTAGCTTTTAATATGTAAAGTTGTTAATAGTTTCTTTTATAAATAATTTAATCTCTCTTAAGAATTGTTGATCTTAGAAAATAGAACCAGATTCAAGAAGTTTATAACTTGATATCGAAATAGTTTTTGATGTTCTAATATACTTGTTAAAACGCTTGAAACCTGAGGGAGGAAAAAAGGAAGAAAAAAAAAGAATGTGCAATATAGCTTTATTCAACGGTACTCTTCAACTCTTGTTTTTTATAGAAAAAATAAAACTCTTTTCTTTCTACAGAGAACAATATAACTTTTATCGAGAACTTAAGCTTTTTTGTAGAAACCAAGAAGAGAATATAAGAATGTAGTACCCGTTTTCTGATGAGAAAGATAAAAAATAAGACTTGGACTATTGAAGATACCAAAAAACGGATTCTAAAAGTTTATTACACGTTTTTAGTGTTAAATGTAAAAGGAGAATAATAATATAGGCACCTCACTAATGATGTAAATCATAAAATTTAGATAATGAAAAATTTTATATTTGGATAAGGGTTTAGGGGGAGTGATTCTCTTTCTCCAATTTTTGCTTAAACGGTTACATCAACACTAAATTAAAAGTTATCTTTACTTTATATAAAATATTTTTTATTTTCAATTTAACATACACAATATATTTAGACCCTACCTCTAAAGATTGTTGTGAGATATATATGATCCAACTTACCTTAATTAGATATATTGGGTTCGAGTCCTGTAGTTAAAATAAATCCTATTAAAATATGTTCTCTCTTTTGCTAGGTCTTACGCGGTACGAATATAGATTAGTCGATGTCTCAATACTAATACGAGTAGAAAACAAAAAGAAAAAAATTTGGGGTCCTCAAAATTTAGGGCCCAAAGCCTTTGCTTTTAGTGGCTTGACCGTTGGGACAACACCTTATCTTATACGTAAGAAATTAAGTATGTCACATGTCATTATTAGTACACTTTGATTCAGATAGGGGATCCATTCCCAGGTAGATTCAAACCTGCAAATGGATACCAACTAGTACCTAGTTGCCAAACCCTGAAAGCTTGCAAGCAATTGTTATCCACAAGTATTTTGTTGGCACATAAATGTAACCAACTTATATTGCTCCAAAATATTCTTCCTGATTAGTCAGTATTCCTTCTGTATTTTTTGGTCTTAATGGTTGTTTCTTAGTTTGAAACACAATAATACTAAAACTCATTGCTGCCATATATTACTGAAACACTCCATGTGATAATTATGTATTATAGAACTTACAATCTGCAAGTGTTTGCATGGTTAATTATTAGTAGCATTTTACATAGCTCTTTAATAAATTTATACCAATGCAACAGGATTATAATGGCTATGGGACTTTTCTATTATGGCCTCCGAGACACGACTGCAACATATGCTACTAACTTCCTCAATCTAATTCCAATAGTGACCTTTATCTTCTCAACTGTATTACGGTATGAAATTAATTGATGTTTCCTCATTTATAGCATTAAGTTCTGGACAAGGAATATATCAAGCTCATTTATGTCTTTGCTAATTTTACTTCTGTTTTTTATATGCTGAAGTGTTGAAAAGCTAAGATTGAAGACCAAGGCTGGTAAAGTTAAACTTATAGGTGCAATGTTGTGCTTGGCTGGAGCACTGACTATTACACTCTACAAAGGCAAAGTGTTCCATATCAGTCATCACAACAAGCATCAAAATAGTTCCAAGGATCATACGAATATGGTTCGTGGAACTATTTTCTTGATATGTAGCTGCATGTCTTATGGTTGTTGGTTCCTTATACAGGTAAATTTGTAGCCAAGGTTAAGGCAATTAATTTTTTGAGATAAATTGTTAGCTTCATATCGATGTATAAGATGAGTAATTTATGCTATTATCACTTTCTTAATTATGTAACAGGCCAAGGTGTCCAAAGTGTTCCCCTACAAATATTCTTCAACATTTATTATATGTGTAATAGCAACGATCCAAAGCGTGGTAATTGGATTATGCATAGATAGAAGAAAGGTTTCTTGGAAAGTGGGATTGAATTTGCAGCTAATCACTATCTTCTACTCGGTAAGAGTCAATTCCATAATTCATGCTTGGCAAATTTGGATCAGTGAGTAATTTTGGTATTGAATTAAAGGTGTGTGTAACATACCAAAAATGCTCTTAGAATCTTGTGGTGCATGTTAATCTTATAAGTGGTGTAAATATGAAATGGAGGAAGTAGTATCAGTTTGAAAACATCTACTTGAGAGAAAAGCTAATAGTGCCTGTAAAATGCAGGGAGCGTTAGCAACGGCAGCAACATTTTGTCTGATATCATGGGCAGTTGCAAGAAGAGGACCAACGTACCCCTCTATGTTCAATCCTCTGTCTTTGATTTTTATAGCTATCACAGAAGCTGCCTTTCTTGGTGAAGAGATCAGTATCGGAAGGTAAAATTGAGATCTTTCATGCTCAAGATATTGGTTCTAATTTGCTAGTTAAAATATTTGTGATGCAAGACTCAAACTAAGAGCTCGTTTGGACATAAGAATTTTTTTATTTTTTCCGAAATCAGTGTTTGGCCATAAAAATTTTAATTTTCACTTGAAGATGAATTTTGGAATTTTTCGAAAATTTGAAAAACTTCAAAAAGCTATTTTTTAAAATTTTCACTCAGATCACTCATAAAAATTTAAAAATAACCCAAAATTATATTCATGTCCAAACACAACTCTAATTTCAAATATCAGTTACTTGAAAAAAAATCACTTTTTTTTTTTGGAATTTTACAATTCTTATGTCCAAACACCCACTAAGTAGTCGTTTGGACATTAAAAAAAAATCATTTTTTGGAAAAGCGGTATTTGGAATTTAAAATTGTGTTTGAACATGAATTTCACTTGAAAAAATGTTACCGTTGTATAAGGGGAAACCAAATTTTACATGAAAAGGTGGTACAATCCACTTTTTCAATATTTAAAACTCATCTTCAAATTTTTTGATATACATCTTTAAAAATTCAGTTAAATGTATAATAACATGATTTGAAAATATTTTTCGGAAAAAGATAATTAAAAAAATTGTGTTTGCTATATTGTTAAGTTTAGTTGCCTACTTTCATTAAATTACAACACTTCAAAAACTTTTTTTTTTTTTTTTTTTTTTTTTTTTTTTAAAGTTTGGCAGAGTTTCGGTATATTTTGGACACTGATTTCTCAAAACAAGTAATTATCTCTCCGAGCCCTCACATTGAGTTTCTTTTTCCCAACTTTTCTCCTATTATTCATAAGCCGGTCAACATGCAAATCNGCAGCTTGATTGGCATGTTTCTGATCATAGTGGGATTGTACTCGTTCCTGCGGGCAAAGAGCAAAGAGCTCACAGTACGAATTGAATCGGATGCAGTGGATGCTGAAGCATCACCACCTCAAAATGAAGGAATGCATTCTATAAATATGGAAATTCCAATTTTAGCTCGTGAAAGTGCTAAATTTCAATCCCCTATTCAAACACAAGAAGCAAAGGAATCCAATGTGTCCAGCAAGATAAACAAATTAACAGAAAAGTAGTATAAAGTTTTGGTGATGAATGATTTAGTAGGAGTTGCTTTCGACGACATTTGGAGGGACCAGTTTTGCCAAGGGCTGGGCATATACCGGGTAAAACTGATAATCCGAACCGTTAATTTTTTATTAAGTTATCGGTATTGGGTTATTGGGTTATCGGTTCGGGCCTCGATTTGCCAATTTTATTAATGGGTTAACCGATAACCCCATAAGAATTAATAAAATTACGACTTTATCCTTAAGTATATACAAATGTTAGGGCTTCAGTTCATTCTCTCCTATTCTTTCTCAACCCCACTCTTCAGTTGCTTCTTCTTCATTCTTCATTCTTCATTCTTCATACACCTTACTAGTTACTCCTAGCGTAAATCTTTAGTATACTATATGTGAATTCTTCTCTTTTTTGCTTAACTCCGATGAATTGTCTTTTTTTTTTTTTGCTTAACTCTAGATTGAGTTATCTTATCGGGTAAACCGATAACCGATTAACCGATATCCGATAACCGATATCTTATCGGTTCGGTTATCGGTTTATCAAATTTATAAACCGATAACCGATATGTTAAACCAATAATATTCATAACCGAACCGAATCGACCGATGCCCAACCCTAGTTTTGCCACGGAATTCAGTACTCTTTGTCCCTTCGATACTTCAAGAGCCTCTAACCCTCAGGTGTTGTATACTGATGAATTAAAGCCAACATTCAATCTATAGTGTCTACTTGATTCAGACTTGCGTCCTAGTAATGTAACATGTCAAACTCCTTTTATTTAATTTATTGTAATAAAATTTTGTCAGACAACATTGCTATTGACATTGGTTGATTAAGTAGTTAAATAAACATATATATCATCTAATCACATACTAAATGACCGTGACTGGAGTTGACATTCTTTAGTATGGTTTTGTGTTGGTTGAATAATAGTAGTAGAATAAGTCAAAAGATATTTTTAGTTGTTTTTTATTTGTTTGTTTACCTAATATCTAGGAGATTTGTTTTCTGTTACCTAGAGTCTAGTAATTAGTTCCTATTGTTTTGTTTATTTTTGCTGTAATTGCGTATAAAAGGCAGATGTTGAATAAAGAGTGAATGAAGCCGCAGCTCATTCGACTAAAATATTTCTATTTCCTTGTTTCAGATTGCTAAAAAATGCCATTTTGCTTTTTCATTAGCATACACTTTCTTGTTTTTTCTACATTTTGAACTATGAGAAAAGTAAAAATTTCATAGACATTGTCAAACTATTTTCCACTTAATAAGTGTCCGACCCTTTTAGCTAATATGGAATGATAGAAGCCTAGTGAACAATATTATCTGCTTTCATAAAAACAGTGAACAATCCATCTCTTCGTTAATATCATTTCATAAAAGGGCTAAGAGGGAGTGTGTCTCTGTCAAATGACGCAGTCATTGAACTACTTTAATTTGACAAATCAAAATTTTTCAGAAAAGTGACATTTTTATATGAATTGCAAGAATAGCTAAGTCGCGGGGCAAGCTTCTAAGTTGTTTTTAAAGTATATTGGGGGACGAATATGTGTGTGGTGGCACTTTGGGCGACAAGAAGAGACAAACTGGCTTCTGTGTCTGCTTAAAAAATGGAAAGCCAAAGTCAAATTAAAGAGAGTTTAGCTGACGCCTAATGGATTTCGTTAGTGATCCTGTATTTGTGTGTCAATCTTATCTGACAATGATCTTATAATATTAGCCTTACTGAAACTATTCTATGAACACGGTATGTGTTATGACAAATTAATTAGGCATCCCATGCTTTTGTTTTTGTTATTTCATGCTTGGTAGTATCTAGTTGTCTTTGATTGGACGCATAAACTGAGTCCAGAAATGTTATCTGTCGGTGCGCCTAATTCTGCGATTTGTTTTTATAGTACTAAAAAATAGTCCGGTTCACAAAGTATTATGTATTTACTTAGGGTCCGGAAAAGGTTGGACCCTTACGCAAGTATCGATTGCACGTCTCGATCCCTGTTTAACCCAAAATTTAGATCTAGATTTAAACAATTAGATTTTCTAATGAAATAAGGTTAATCTTAACCAATATTAATATCCAAAAAATTATTTAACTAGCGTCGTGGCAAGACGTCATACAGTCTATAGGAGCAATGAATATGTAATAATAAACAATATTTAGTGGCCCAAATACAACGTGAATAGTATTAAATAAGAATAAATGGTATATAATGGTAATATTGTAAATAAATGCAAGAGAGATGACCGAAATGGAATGAAATCGTATGATATTCTCTCTGACAATGATAAATAATTGATGAGCCTTTGAATATTTGGATTCTCCTTGGATCGTGGGAGAAAAGTTAGATCAGAATCTCAAGAAAAGGTGTCTTTTGTATGTATGTAGGGAAGTAAGAATCTTTAGATAATATCAAATTGTTGTTCTCTTACAAATGAGTATCCAATCCCCCCTATAACTATATCTCTTTCTATTTATAGTAGGACATGGGCCACAAAACCCTAATAGTACATATCTTAGGAATATTCACGGAAATATTCTCGTTAAAGTCAGATCCCCAAACTAGCCATTACTGCTCTGCTAAAGAGGGTACTCGACATCGACCTCAATTTTTGTTGACGCCTCGACCTAGCACTTATATTTCGTCAGATCATTTCGACGTTGAATCCATCTTTTGTTGAAATCATACCGATGACATGTGCCAGCCTTTGAAGGCTCTCTTAGTGCTAATGTAGCCTGAATATAACTTGGATAATTTTTGCCCTATACAGTTAGTCCCTCCGTTCATTGAAGTCGTCTTCGTGGGCGAGTTCAATGAGCAGATAATATCGCTCAAGTTCGTCTTCATGGTGAATCTCGCTGAACAGATAACATCGGTTGTGGTCGTTGTAACGATCATGCGAAGTGGCTCTTTGTGGGCTGTGTATTTCAAATTTCTTAAATTTTTCGAGTAATTTGTTGGAACCATCTGGTCCAAGAGAGTGAGTGACGTCATGACGTCGTGCGTCATGATGATACTAGTTCCCGATGTATTGTGTCGATTAGCGTGTGTCCTTTGATTGGATCTGTCGTTTCGATTCTGATGCCAATCATGACAAACTATTTCAGATTTGGTGCTTCAATCTCTATAAATAGGGATGGCCAAACCTGAATTTGAACCTTTCATTCTTCCAAATTTTAGACTCTAAACTTCCTCTATGAACTTCCATTTTCTGCTTTGTTGCTCCATACCGTATTCCAAACTTTCTTCTTAGTGTTCTTCTTTACTTTTCATAAATATGTCAAATTTCCCATCTGATGTTGGTGAAGGGAGTCACGTCATTCCGTTGGCGGTTGTGTTTCCTGCTCACAGGGAGAGTGTAGCTGCCACCGTAAAGGATGAAACTTTTCCGTTGGCGGTTGAGTTTCCTGCTCACAGGGAGAGTGTAGCTGCCACCGCAAAGGATGAAACTTTTTTGTCGATGGAGGAGATCATCCCCCGCAACTCTGAAGCAAGGCTTGATTTCTAACGATAGCCGGACGCGGCGCCTAAAAAATTTCTATTGACAATGGTGCCCAAAAAATTAATTGAATTTAAAGTCAAGTTTGGCCTCCCCAACCATATCGAACTAATCCCCAATGAAGAAGACAAAGTACGTATTCACCGTCCAGGGTACTACGCTCTATATGCCTAATATGCCTACTCGTTCACTATCAGCTATTCATTTTCCCATCTTCCTCTATTGGAGGAGTTTTTGCCGCCACTATGGCGTTTTCCCCGCTTCGACTCATATGTTTACAAGGTCATAAAGATGCTCACCAAATTTGCTGAGCTCGCGCTGGAGTCAAGGTAAGAGTGTGGCATTTGGTACACTTGTTCGCTCCTAGCTTCTATAGAGGGACGATGTTAAACCTTCGTCACCGTGGAGGCAAGTGCTTGGTAGTGAAGATGGACAACAAGGCCAGCCACCAATTCTAGCTTGATTTCTTTTACGTAAAAATTGAGGACGTCGTGGCTAATGTCGACGACTTCCCTGAGGCTTGGGATCATACACGTAAATGTCCAGGTTTCTTTCATTTTTACCTTTTGCATCTCTTTGCCTATTTTGGGTTAGTTAAGCAACCATGTCTATCTTTCTTATAGCCAACAATCATCCTCCCCCTCTAGTCATACGCATCGCCGAATGGGTCGGGCAAATTCTCCCCCACGCTGCAAGGATTCGTGACTGGTTGATCTTCTTTAAGAAGTTCAAATCGGGTCTCCTTTCCGCATGTAACTTCTCTTTTTTGGTTGTGACTGTTGTTTCTCTTTGTTGTATGTTGGCCTACTTCATTGTAATCTTCTATATTTCTTCCTTTCTCAGGTCCAGTCAGGGGCTTTTCTCGAAGGAACAGGGCACTTGTGCACTCTTTTAGGAGAAAGGCTACTACACCTTCGATTTCTACCCCCGTCATGGCTACTGCACCTTCTGCACCCGGCCTCGTCCTGACTAATGCGGCCTCTGAATCTGTCCCCTTTCCAATTGATGCCTCTGCTCCTCAACTATTTTTGCTGGTCGATGAGGATGATGAAATCTCCCCCGATGATGGAGATCTAAGGCCTCGTAAGAAGAGAGTCGTGGACGGCCTGGAGAGGGGGGGTCTCAGCGGCCGTTGACTCGTTGGATAGTGACTTTGTCTTCGAGAGAAAACAACAATACATATTGGAGAAGGTATTGCGACGAGCTCTAAGGCCCTACAACTAGGAGAGGTGGACGTGGTCGTACTGGTGCATCCCGATGAGGAAACAGTCATGGGGGGAAACTTGATAGCGGCCCCATACTTTCGAGGCAAAATGAGGCTTGATCCTCCAGGGAGGCAATGGATGTTTCTTCGTAAGTCGAAGACAGGGGGAAAGCCATCACCGAGGAGGACGATGAGTCGAGTTCCAACATGGACCTGTACCATCTAAAAATGATCGACGAGGGGCCCACCCAACTCGATGTGAGGCTGGATGGAGGTTCTAGGACCATCACAATCCCGATGGATCATGATTTGCTAGTAAATACCAAGGAGCTAGTTCGTGCTCCTGGCCCGTATGAGGCACCTGACGAGTGCTCGATCACCGGAATGAGTACCGCAATGGTCTTCATGGACTTCTTCGAGGATGCATTGCGTTTGGTTTGGGCCTAAACATTTTACCAAAGGACCGCCATACGTTCTCTTGTATAAGTCATTATGAAGGAGGTTGTATTTGGCCGCTTGCATTCTTAGTTTTGTAGCTTCATTTTTGTCGTTTGGGAGAGTGACATCTTGCAAATACGTAATAATACAATTGCGTCAGTCCCAACTTAAACTTACAGATCTTACCTCGATTTGATCTAGTGATGAGTTGAGGAGATGGACTATGCTTTAGCCCCTAGCCGTGATGTTTTTGGTGGCGGCAACCATTTTGGCGGAGCCATCTGCTTCGATGTTCTGATTTCGTGGGATTTGGTAG